TATATATATATATACACACATATATACATATATATATATAAAATAGACTAGCCAAATTTTCATTTACTCCACACTTCTTGTTCAGAGAGTTTGTCCAAAAACTTTTTACGAGACAATTTCTTACATCACCACCAATTTTTAGCATTACCTGTGGTCTGAGAAAAATATGTTTTGTAATTGTTACACTTTATAAAAGTGAACTTAATACAAACATTTAGTTGGTTATCCTGGCTTAAACAATTACTGTTGCATTTGCTTGGTAAAATTCACAGTTTTGTGGGAAAAAAAAGGCTCTAGTTCTTGCTTAGTTTTGTTCATTGGCCGTATGGGATTGAAACTACAAACTCTCTTTTCCTTGAGATGATTTTTTTTTGCATTATCACTTTAATAACTTGCAAAGTTTGCACAGGGAATTCAAACAGTTTATTAAAGATACTGTTTAAATCTTTTACAGTGGGGTTCTGAGTAAAAATGACCACCAATGAATATCTTTGAATGACTTGAGTTTGAGGAATTAGTTTAATTCGGACCAGAGTGACAGACTAAAGGACAGTTTGGAAGAGGATAAGATAGCTGTATGCTATTGTCCTAAAAAAGCTGTTGGTGTGAAAACTGTTTTAGAGATTATTACTCTGTTGTCTTTTTTTTTCCGTACACTGTTACTCCAGCAGGAATGATGGTTCCTGCAAAAAGTGTTTTAGGTCCAGCTACTGCTATAGGTGCTGCTGCTATTTGCATTTGCAAATAACCATAAAATTCTAAGTAACCATGTGATAAAAAAACTAATGATGATGAATAGGTTTAAAAAATGGTGTGAATCACTATTTTCTATAGGTCTTTTAAGTTATTTGAAGACTACAGCAGTCCACTTTGGTCTTGGCCCAGTCATTGTGGTCAAAATTATTTATACTGAGGTTGTTCAAAGAGCTATCTACAACAGGTAAGACATTAACTGCTCATAAGGCAAAATATCTGAACTGTTTTTCTAGGACTACACTAAATTCTGGTAAAATTGGTGGGGTTTTTTGTGTTTGTATGTAAACCACAACTGCATTTAACTGAAAGGTTTTAGTGTTTATATGCTTCCTTTTGTACGAGACATTTCACTTAAGTTCCTACAGTATAAAAACAGATTGTATTGTTGCTAAATAAAATAAGTTTATGTCAAATACAGTACAGAGCTTCTGACATGGCAATTAGTTTTTTTTTTTGGTGTTTGTGAGGGGTGGGGGTTACATCACTGATGAGTAAACATCTCGAAGGAGCGGTCATCTCTCATCATTCGGTCAGCCTTTCCCTTCTTGTAGCATCCTTCCCGGCGGTGCTGCCCCTAACAGGAAAAGCGTTCTCAGCTCCTGGTAGGGTCATTTATAGAGTTCATCTGCATCTTTTAAACCAAGTCCTCCTCCTCATCCTGCTTACCCCCTTCTCTTCTCTCAGGCTACAGTCACTGTTCGTGGGTGTGGGAACCAGAAGGGGCTTCTCTCAGGAAGCTCGGCCCACTGAGAGGTTCAGGAAATCCACGCCATGGTTTGGTCTTTTTTGCTTCCAGACACGTGTTGCTTCAGTGTCCCAAGCAAAGTCGGATATACTTTTTGTATACATTTTAAGATGAGTGCGAAAAAAAAAAAAAAAAAACCTCCAGGGAGCGATCAGTTGCTGTCTTTTCTGACGCTGCGGTCAGCGTGGAGGTTGTTGGGCTCTGGGCTCTTACACTGGATACTGGTTCCGTTCATGGGTCCAGTGCTGTTCAGCTGGTTGTCGGAGTAACACCAGCAGCACAAACATGACTGGAAGAACATGTAAAGAGAAGAAACGTTAACATGTCAGAGTTTTTCCATATGTGGAGCTACAGTCTCTCATTTCTTCCCCTTAAAATATAAACTCAGGCCATGGTTTATCTCCCCTGACAGACAGTTGTGAGGCGAGTGAGCTCAGTCTATAAAGTGACTACATACCAGACTGCTTTTGTTGCTCATGGAATGTCATCACATCCCAGCCCCTGAGTCATGAGCAAATGATCTGCTACTTGTTTAAAAAGCCAGATTATCTCAAAAAATATTATTATCTGTCTGTCTGTCTGTCTGTCTGTCTGTCTGTCTGTCTGTCTGTCTGTCTGTCTGTCTGTCTGTCTGTCTGTCCGTCCGTCCGTCCGTCTGTCTGTCTGTCTGTCTGTCTGTCTGTCTGTCTGTCTGTCTGTCTGTCTGCAGTGAGTAAAGAGGTGGTTGTGTTTGAGATTAGTTGTTGTTCTGTGTGTATGGAAGGGAGCAAAAGTACCTTGAAGCAATTTTTGAACTTCTTGCTGACAAAGTACAGTATAATGGGATTTATGCACGAGTTGATTGTCGCCAGGTTAATGCCGAGGTAGTCCAGGACCAACAGGAAACTGAAAACAGAGAAAAAAGTGAGAGATGAGCAAATTAAAATCCAAAAAAGAAAAAAAATTAATAATTATAATAAAATAAATAAAAGAAAAAGATGACTTGAAAGCAGCACGCTCATTGTTCTATTTGTTTTTATTGATTTTACTTAGGGGTTAAATATATTTGCACATATAGTAAGAAAATGTGTGTTGGTTAGATTATTTCTTTGTTGTAACAATGCATCTTGACATCAAATCTCATACCAGCCACCTGACTGGAAGCAACTTGGGGTACCGGAAGCTCAAAACAAGTGTCAGTAACAGCAGTGAAATAAGCTGTTTGACAGAGAATATTTGACAATTTTTTTCATGTTCCTTACAAAGGTGGCTCCATTTAAAAGAGACATTAACAGACTTTCAAAAAGTATAAGATTTATTGCCAAGAATCATTGTACAACAAAGAAATAATCCAACAAACAAATTTCTGTACTTTTTGTGCTAAGTTACTGTTAAACATACCCGTTGGTTAAAATGTGTTTTATTTATTTAGTTTAATATTGCAGAAAGGCAAAGGCTGGCAATGTCTTTTGTATGTATGTTTGTTACCAAAATGTTTGAATCATTTGAAGTTTCAAGGAAAAGTAACCACTGAATGTAGATAATTAATGTCTGGAGACATTATAATTTAAGATGGCTACTTCGCCAAACAAACAAACAAACAAAAAACCCTAAGTATAACAAGTCCGTTTTGCAAAAATTGTGGTAAAGTTTAATTTGAAAGTAGATGAAAGTCATTTACAACAGACACTTTGGCATAAGTTGTTGGGTGCTACGCATTTCTACAAAAAAATCAGAATAAGAATTTGTCTTTGGTTGGTGGTGACCCTCGGTAGTATAAAGCATTACCATACACAGTAAGGCATATTTTCAGATGTCACACAATATACAAGCAGAATGTTTAGGGTTAGTCTATACAGTGCAGATAATATGTAATTTGGGTCTAGTAAGTTTTAAGTATCATGGAAAATATAAAAAGTAAAAAAAAATGGTTCAAAGTTGTTTGAAAAGGTGATGACTTGTGAGGACAAAACTTTTTTTACTCTGACTAGTTCTGGTCTGCAGATTTCTGCACATCTGGCCAGATAGGAGGAGATAAAAAAACAAAACAAAGCAAAACAAAAAGATTAGAAGAATGTTAGGCCTTTAGTTTATTTTAAAGGGAAGGACTGAGAGGAAGTAATAATGTTTTATGCTTTTGGGCCTTTTTTCTGTTAGTTGATAGTACAGCTGAAAACCTTTAAACCCGAATTTTAACAAACGTGGGAGATTTGGAACGTCCAGGTTCAGTTTTTTTTTGTTCACATTGTTAGATTGTTTTGTATTTTGAAATCTGCAACATTCTATAACCTAAACATCCATTTTCCAAGAGAAAAAGTAGCTTAAATGCCTCATTTATCATTCTTCAATTACTTATTTACATCAGCATAAAGCATTTTTACGATGGCTACTAAGTAGCTAATTTGGCCATCTTCACACAAAGTATGGGCAACTGCCAGCATGCATACGAGCAGCTGACCTATCAGAGCACACAAGATGTTTTGAGAGCCTGTAAATCTGAGCTTTGCAGACAAAATGTGACCTGAGGAACTGCTTTACTTTACAGCATAAGAACAATATTTAGATTTTTGAAGGATGTAAATCTGTGAACTTGAAGTTCAAAGCTCTTCAGGGACACTTAGTGTGACAGGGCTCCAGTCAAAACTCACTTCAGTAGCTCGCAGCGCATCTTGTCCCTCTGGTTGTAAAGCATCTTCTTTAGAATCCTGCTCAGGTGCAACGGAAACCAGCAGAGGGCAAAGATCAGCACGAGGCAGAACACAGCTTTGGCCACCTCCCTCCTCTGCAAAGAGAAATGAAGAAATTTAAAATGAGATGGAAAGGTCAACTGAACTGGTCAGGGATATTTCGGAGTCCCTGCCTTCTGTCCGACCTGTTTGAGGTGCTCACTGAGGGCGATGCGAAGACTGCCCTTCCTGTGGTTCAGCATCTCACTGGTCATCAGAGTGTAGAAGATGGCGGTGCACGTCAGGGGTACACAGAAGTAGAAGCTGAAAAGCCACCAATCCTTATTTTCTGTATAGAACTACATGGAAAACAAAATAATAAAAAATAATGATAAATAACACAGCTTTAAACGTTTAAACTGCAAATCATTCAAGAGTTACAGTAAATATTTGACCTGAACGTTTGAGACTGAGGCGTGGATTTGTGAAGTGCTGCCGTCCAGCTGAGCAGCCCGCATTCAGACACATTCTTGAAACGTTTCTTTATATTTCACCCAGTTTACACAATTGTGCATAGCTACAACTATATGGATCCGAAACACCCAGTTTGAAAATAATTTGGCTTGACTTGGTGTAATTGTAGATGCCCTGCTTTTTAAAACACCTTCTGACCGCTGCTGGTCTCTGGTGCCAGTGGAGCCTGCAGGAAAACTGCTCATTGTGAGAAGTCTGCAAACATCAGCTCTAATCATGCAGAGAATGATAATGACTTGTGGTTCTAGGTATGATAAAAATGCTATTTTCAAAATCATTAAAAATTAACCATACCTTATCTTCACAGACCCACTAATGAGTTTGTCATATTGCAAACAAATAACAAACTAAAAGACTGTTATTAATTAATGGTATTAGGAAGTATGCTTCTCAGAGTTCAGCACTGTACTGATATCTTTGAAAGATTTCTCCAGTTTTCAGGATTTGGAATGGCACATATGGCTCAGCTTAGAGCTCTGAAGGCCTCAGTAATTGCACTTGGCCTGCAATCAATTATGTGCTTCAAGGATGTGGAAAGGCCACAATCACTGTGAGCGAGTGTGTTGACTGGGTTTATTTCTGAAAGCGATGCATCGCTCAAATTATTGACCAGCTACACGACTTTGGTGAGACCCACTTGCAGTTTTTTATAGCTTTCTTGTCATTTCTGCATTATTTAGCTGTGCCGTATCGTACGTTCTTGTGTTTTAAATTATTTACTGAAGAAGCAGGATATATGTAGCTGATTGTTTGTGCTGATGTATTCATGCACTTAAAACATATTTCCAATCAAGACAGTGTATCAGCATGTCCATTAAAAACACTCTCCAACTCCAAGCATAAAGTAATACATGCCTTTATGACGAAGGAGACATTAAGGGCGAGGTCTCACCTCAAGTAGTTTTCATGCCGGAATGCATTTTCTATCCTACTCCTCCTCTAATGCACCACTTCTAAATTAGAAGGAATGTATTCTAATCATGGCATTCAAGTAGTTTCTGAACTCTGAAGTTTTTTTCTTTTACTTGAGGAACTTCAACTGTGCTTTAATCAAAACGGCAAAACAAAACAACATTCTATATGTGAAATAACTGGAGTTTTATGACGAACTTTTGTGGCTTCATGCAGATATGATTTCGCCCCAGAGAGAGAGAGAGAGAGAGAGAGAGAGAGAGAGAGAGAGAGAGAGAGAGAGAGA